CTAGTTATCCCAGCCCCTGTCTCTTCCCATTATGCCAGGTAGCGGTGAGGTGGCTGCACAGCTGTCCCATTATGTGGATGTGGTCTCCAGGAAAATGAGCTGGTCATCCCTGAATAAAAGGGAACCTACTGGGTAATTTACTTGAACAGTTGATCATGTTTCATTTGATTCTGATAAACAATGTTTGGTCAAATGTTTCATTTCTCACCAAGATTCTCACATCTAATAGACATCATGGTATCTTTTGTTGACTTGATATAAAGTTCAGGTTCCACTGCTGAGCCCCTTTCACCCTAGCATTTTGCCCTTTTTCAAATAAGCACTGAAGATGTACTCACTTCTTGACTTCGGAAGATTCATGTGACAACCTAGCAGTACATTCAGGTTATAAATCTGTTGGTTATTCTTTTGCATACTGTCCAGATGCACAATCATGATCTTAATCAAAAGTCATCAAAATCTTGAAGAGTACAATAGAATCACTGTACTCAAAAATGCCTCTGCACATTCACAATGAAAGCATGTTCGGAGGTCATTGTGTTAAAACAGCAAAGCAGAAAGCTTTTTTTTTTTTGGATACAAAAGAAAAGACTTTTGGGAAAAAACAGAGACGAGCTCCAAATTAATCTACAACCCAGGAGAAAATAATAATAATAATTGTATGTTCTTTAAAAAGAGAGGTAGATATGTGAAAAAACAAGGATTCCTAAACTATTGGTTACGTATGATCACTACATGCAAATGCAAAAGTCAGAATGTTACAAAGATCATAGAATCATAATCGTTCAGGTTGGAAAAGACCTTTAAGATCATCCAGTCCAACCATTAACCTAACATTACCAAGTCTACACTAAACCAGAATCATAGAACCGTTTAGATGACGAACAGTTATATACATACAAAAGAGAAAAAAGCCACCTAAAACCTAAAAAGTATAGAAGACTCTTATATCAATGAGCGAAATTTTTAATAGTCTGGGAAAGTGACCATAGCTGTTCACTAAAAGCCATTTCAATTGTTTGCTAAGCCACACCTGGAGAAGTACTGAGTGCGCACTGCAGGGTTTTGGTGCCAGAGGGCTGTAGGGGTGACCAGTGCAGTAGGAGGCCATGAAGTACCCTAGGCCAGTCATAGCTAGTGCCAGATGGCTCTCAAACTGATGGGAACAACCCACCGCGCTCCAAAATTTCAATCGAAAAGGGCACATGCTGCTTCTGCTCAAACATATTGGGGAAGAAATAGAGAAGACAAATGAGAAGCAACAGAGGAGATGCATCAGAGGAGACATTGCTAGGGACGGCACTGGAGACACATTGGAAGCAGGTGCTCCATGCCAGAGCAGGGATGGCCCCAAAGGTGCTGGGGCCCATGGCGTATCCATGTCAGGGAAGGGAATTTCCCCTCTCTGTCCTCCTACTCCCACATGGCTGTGGCCTGCAGACAACTCACCAGAGCAGAAGAAAACCAGTAAAGAGCATGGAGGAGGAGCAACAGCAGAGGGAAACCCTGCACATGGCCCCAACCTCTTACACCACCTGTTGCCTCACCAAGGGAATTGGGATTGATGGAGCGTTGTGCACGGGGAGAACAACGGAAGTTTAGACTAGGAATGGGGGAAGAGAGGTGTATGACAGCAGATGAGCTTGGAGAAAGGGGAGGAAAGGCATTTCCCTAAGTGTTTGTTTAATTGCCCCCCCCAATCAATAATCAAAAGTTTGTGTTAATTGGCAGTAAGTTAAATGAAGAAAAATTCCCGAGTCGAGCCTGTTTTGCCCACAGCAGGATGTCAGTCATTATACCTATGAAATGATACATATGCCAAAAAGCTGTCTTTGTTCAAAGAAAAGAAATGCATTCTTTATAAACTGAAGGCTCAGTCTGCAGCACTGCCGATGTTTCATGATAAATAAATAAAGCTAATAGCTCTCAATTTGTCGGTGGATGTTTATGATATGAGATTAATATAACGCTAAAAGGTAAGAGTTTCAAACAGCCAAATGAATGCCAGCTACCCAAGACGCTTTCAGCAGAGCAATTTACAGGTACAATATATGAAAGTGTGAATGAACTGTGATCTCTCTAACCCTTAAATGTGAATCAGGAAGCAAGGTTCAATTTATATACTTGCTTCAGTCACAGGTTTTCTTCATAAACTAAAAAAAAACAAACCTCAAAACAAAACACAAGCCCACAAATCACAGACAACTCCTCAGCAGCTAAGACTCCTTCAAATAGGCCTCAGTTTCTTGTTTCTTTCACAATATTAGCCCATAAGCACCAAAGCAAATTTTGCTGCTCTTTCATCTCAACACACACGGCGAGGCTTACCTGGCTACTAAGCCAACTACAACACTTAACATGAAGTCAACATAGATTTCGCCTCTAGATTTATCACCTGCCTTGGAAAAGGTGTTCAACAACCAAATGTTCAACTTTGTGTGTACACCACCATGGCTTGCGATGACATGGATAGGCTTGAAGTGGTAATTGAAGGAGAAATAATACACTCTAAGCACAGAATCATTGGTCTGCTTCCAGTGGTCCTCAAGTCTATTAGCATACAATAATTCCTGGTACTGACTTTTCAAACTAAAGGAATGGAACAGTCTCAAACATGACAGACATAAAACAGTGACTACAATATATTTAGAGAAGCATTTAACCCCTTGCAATCCAAACTTTTCCAACACAAACAGTTGCTTCCTACAGTAAGCATCTTCCACACCTCTAAAATGCTCTGTCTCCTCCTATGGTAACCAATGCCAGCGGGCAGACGCATAAGAATGATGTGAAGAACTGGCCTCAGAGCTTGGCAGCGTAGCCAAGGGATAAGAGAGACATAACATCCATCTAGCCACCTTCCACAAAGTGGCACCTAGCCATAAATTTTTTTCTGGGCTAAAGGAATTGTATTGCCTATACAAACCTCTTAAAGGGGGCCTGAACTGTATCAGTTAAATGTAAAGAAATCTGGCAATGGCATTTTCAATGCTGTCCTTCATAGCTACTCATTTGCACACAACTTATCTACATACCTCAGCTACCTAACGTGATAAAAAGCAATACAGCTTTGAGTATTTCACATTGGTCCAGCGGATCCTTTGCAGGAACTTATTCAAGAATCTAAAAAAAGAACCTAAATGTCACATCCAAACTCTGAGGCCTGTAGCCTTCTGTAACTTTACATGTGATTAACTGAATGTCCCATGCTATTTGCCAATTTATCACCTGGAAGATATACATTTATCAGTCAGCTATCCTGCTTTATGCCACATTAAAAAGAATTATCAGTCCAAACTGAGAGAAATCTCTTAGATCAACAAATGGATGAAACTATAACACACATTTAAGGAAAAGCATTTTATTCTCAAATCTCAG